ACTGGTGGTAGTGGTTGCTGGATACCCAGAGCTATACGACTTTACAAACCACAGTTAGCACCATCTCAATAGAAAACAGCAGGCGTGGAAGCAGATAAGTGCAGTATTTGAAACGTCCATGATGGAGGAGAAGCTCCTGGACCAACTGGTGGTACTCCCCATGATCCAGCCTCTTTTTTAGGGTCTCATGTACCCACACAGATCTCTGTTTATCTGCTGACAGCCTCTCACCCTCAACCAGAGCTACAGACAGTACCCTCTGCCTCAACATGTCAGCAACTACACACTGATTACTGCAGGACAGATACAATAAATGAACTGTAGACTGATGACACAGGAAGGTTAGGGTAAGCGGATGATGGGGTGGTTGCCTGGCAACAATAAAGAGATGCATCAAGATTTTTTTTACTAACGGCATTCAATAAAAAAAAAAAGAAGAGGCAGTGTGGTGCGCCTCATGCTTTGGAACCTATACAATGCTTTTTGTGTGATTGGAGCCTGTTTGAATTCAGAGAAAGAGATTTTGTTTGCTTGGAAAAATCCATAAAAAGTACACTTTAGGTATAAAATAGAGGCATTTTGTAGGGAACAGAGGATTCAGCCTCCACTCTACACCCTGTAGAGAAAAGTTGTGAAACCATACCCCTGATAAACCCCATGGTTTCCCACCTTACAGTCACCAGTGGAGCGGCGTGTGGCACTCCACTCACCTCCTCTAAACCACAGTCAGACACAAGGTCAGGCCAGGGGTTAAATGGCTGTGTTGGTCCCTGCAAAGCCGGCAGAATGGCTCATTGTCCAGAGGCCGGGGGGGTAGAGGGCACATGGTGAGGGGTGAAGTAAAGGGAGCGCCACGCTACCCCCCGAGCCATAGGAGTCCTCGGTGTGACCCGCACGGATAGCCGCAGCCACGTTTCATCTTTTGTCCTGTGTAATTTGGGAGGGTCACGAAGATAAGCAGAAAGCTGACCACTGTTTTAAGTGTTGGTGGTCCGTCTCACAGAGGAGCGTCGACGTGAGCAGAGGCCAGTGACATCGAAGGACTTGTGAAAATAGATGGACGTTGTCTTTAGGCTCACTACGCCCCAAGTATCAGACATAACAAGAGGATAGCTGACATTCCTGACTGCTTCATGTCTGTCTGTGTGACAGGCTGATCAGCACAAGAAAAAAACAAGTAACACGACCTTTTGTAAAAAAAGTTTGCGGTCATTTATAACTTATTCTGTTCAGTTTGACTCTGGTTTGCCATTTGATTTGATTTTTCTTTTTAAGTGTGATATAATCCCTTTAAGGAGTCCCCTCTCACCTGCATGTCTCATTGCCTTTTCTTTTCTTTTGTCTTAACTGGTAGAAAAGATTTATCTGATCTAGTTGGTGTTTCACTTTACTAATGAGCTTTTGGTCTGTTTCACTTTCATCAGAGAGTACAGTATGTATGCTGTATGATGTACGCTGTGATGAATGTCTAATAGACCGAAAGCTCAAAAATTAAGTGAGTAGATAGATAGATCTAAGTGTGCAGACATCTTTTCTACCAGTTTGGATTTTTTCCAGCACCTTGCCAGCACTAAGCTGGATGGAGCAGTGGTTGTTCTGCATCTTTTTTCTTTTTTGTCTTAAAAGTACTGTAGCTTAAACATACAGCACTAGTTTTGTTGAGGAAAACTGCGATTTTCTGGTAATTTTCTGGGTCATCTGGTGTGGAATTAATGAGAGTTTAGTGACAAGTTCAATAAAAGGGAGAGAGAACTTTCCGTGTCATTGGAACGACAGTACATGGTACATTCATTATCCTTTTTTTCTATTAGGACACCTCGAAGCCAGATTTTGGTGAACAAATCAGAGCTCAACATTTTCCTCCCTTAGAAATCAGTTTTTCACTGACACAGATGATGTATATGTGTTATCTAAGCAGCACTGCATACAGTTGACTCCTGGTGTCAGTATAAGACAAATAGATCATGATGAAAATGTTGTTATATGAGTTAACAATGAGCACACCCGATCACGTTTTTTTGTCCTTAATGGGCTCATGACAGCTCTAGAAAGGATGAAGCTACACTCATCCACAGTAGACAAACAGCACACTGACATTTGTCATTTGTCTCTTACCTGAGCTCCCTGCTATGCCGCTGCTGTAAATCCTGAGTCTGCTGAAGCTGAGCCTGGCAGAACATCAGGAAGCTGCCTGAAGCCGAGCTGAACTGCTGAACAACAGGGGGCGTCAGAACAGAGTCTGTCTGCTGGTCATCGATGAGCCTCAGGCCGGGTACTGCTTTCTGCAGAGTGGATCTGAAAGGAGAGCAACCTGGATGTAATATCAGAGGTCATTAAAGGGATACTCTGCTGATTTTCAAACAGCATTGTATAACAAAAGTCTGGGTAGTGTGAGTGAATGAACTGTGGTAAACTGCCCTCCATCTTTCAAGCATCCAGATCTTTGTGCTCATTTCTCTTTCTGTCACTTGCAAAGTCAGATCAAACTAAAACCAAGTAGCGCTGATTAAATATAAATAAAGAGATTCTAGGGATGCAGAATAATATCGACACGTCATCAGTATCGGCCAACATGCTTTTTCTTATCTTGCACAATGAATGAATATTACATACACTGAAAAGTATTTCATGTCTCCATCTGCTGGTATGATAAGAGTATGTATGTATAATATGATGTGAATTCCACTACAGGGGAGACTTCATAATCACTAAAATTTTATCTGCCAAATTAGTTGTTGGATATCAGCATATTGGCTATCGGCAAAAAAATTCAATATTGTGCATCCCTACAAGATTCTGTTACTGCATTGCCTATTTCTCACTTAAAACGTCTTTTACTTATTTATTCATTTATTTAAGCCATTTTTTAACACCTACAAGAACCAACCAATTCATTCATCCTGGTACTTATGAGAGCTTTAAAATCAGGCAGAGACCGGTTCATGAAGTTTCAACTCTTTTGAAGGTTATTCCAGGTGAGACAAGCAGAGCACAGAAGAGATTTGTGTCCCAGCTCAGTCTGAGAACCAGGAACAGACAACAAAACTAAAGTGTTGAGATCAATCAAAATTCAGATGTACAAAGGGAGTTTACTCTGTATGGCTTTATAAATGAACAAATACCAGTGACTGAACCCTCTAAAGGTCAAAGATGGCCGACCAGCCCTGGAATAAAACCTACCATGATGAGTGAGGCCTTTACAATCTGTAACAACTCTCAGTGCACTATGATATGGAGTATCTGACATGTGCAAACACTGTGCAGATGCATTCATGTACATCAGATCACTGTAATCCAGAACCAGTAAAAACGTAGCAGCAACCAGAGAAAAAGGACTCATGTCTGAAATAAAACTTCAGCTTCAGCTTTTTAAGATCATCAACCTGAGGTTTAAAAGAAACGGAGTCATCGAGCCAAATACTGAGCAATAAGAACATGAGGAGCGTTCACAGGCTTCTTACTAACATTTGAGAAATGTGTGACCTTAGAAACGGTCCGGTGCGGCACAGTGCATTCTGGTAGTTTTATCTCAGTTTTCTCTGGTCATGTGGCACCAATTTCAAAAGTATTTGCACCTTTCTGCTGCACAGACAGCCCAGTTTGATGAAGAGACCATCTTTCCTGTAGTGAAATATGTCTTTATGGCAACACTTTAATGGCCTTCATTTTTAGTTACGGTGATATCAACAAAAAGGATTACAGTACAAGTGGCCTATTTAAATAGAAAAAAGTTTTTGTACATTCCTTTTACAATTATTGTATTTAACCAACACAAAACCAGTGTGGTTTGTATCACTCATACATTTAATATGTAAATATTAAAATCAAAAATAAAACTATGATATCAGCTTTCATATTGGCAGCAACACTGAACAATACCACTGCATCTATTAGACAAATAAAAGCAAAGTAATTGTAATTTAGTAGAATATTTATCATCTGGTGAAGCTTTTTCAGTTGACAGGCACATCACATTTCAATCTTTTTATATAACCACACCACTGCTGCTATTCTGCATAACAGCGCAGCATTCTTCACTTCTGCATTGAACACAAACAGCTAAGCACGTCCAACTCTTTGTATACACAACTAAATATTCACAGACAACAAAGGCCTCTTAATGTGACATTAACAGAGTCAAAAAAGAAGGAAATTTTAGCTCATAAATTTTCAAAATGATACTCAACTTTAAGAGAACGGTTCTATCGGTGAGAAGGAATCAAACAAAAAAGCTTTTTTAGACCGTCTCACTGTAAACTGAAATTTCTCTGAAGTTCAGTGGGTAGAACGTTTCTTTGACAATGAAGGTTTCCAGCAGCCATTCTGTGTTTAGTTTGACTAATAAGAGTTTGAGGAGTCTGTTTCGAGTCTCTCTGAGGCCTCTCATCGTACATGCTGTTCTGTAAACTGCACATTTTGTCCTCTACACTGATCTAATTACAGTAAATACATTTTAACCTTATTGTTAACTTCACATTGTTTTGTAAGAGTGAAGCTACTCTGGATAAAAACTCTCCCCGCGGTGTGTTTTAGGTAGTTTCAGCCTTTAAACTGGAGGGGAGCCCTGAGTGGCTGAGAGTCTGGGGGAGAGGTAACTGCTGCCTGAGGCTAAGGATGTACAAGCAGAGGAATCCCAACTATCTGCCAGAGAAACAGACTCAGAGCATCCACTAGCGGAGGCCAAATGTGGTCTGTGTTCAGTGGGAAAATGTGGAGCTGGAAACTCTACAGGACACAAGGGAACAGCAACAATAAAACCCGTAAAAATACAAGCCTTCGGGCTACAAAGTCAATTTTTTAAAACATTTTTGAAGGACTGGGTTTTGCAAAATTGATTCCCAGAGCACCATGTGCTCTTAAATCGTGTCTACTGTGTCACCAGAGGAGGATAAAACATATGCTGAGGGCAAACCTTTCATTTCACCAGCTCATAATGTGGGGTTTTATAAATATTTGAGCATTTTTTATTTCATACTATATCTCTTTACGTGGATATCTCAAGATGTTTTACCAATCTATGGCTATAATAGATTTTTAAGGGTAGATCTTGTTGGATCATTTAAAACACAGCTTTATTTTACTGTTTTAAATGATAAGTTAAAGCACAGGGTAAAGTATTAAATCCATTAAAAAAAAAAACAGCTGATGATGGAGTCATTCTGGTGGTTTGACCCTTTTCTTCAAGCCTAGCAGAAGATTTAAACCCGTATAAACGGTTCATACTGAGCTCTGATCGCATGCGGTTTCACCGAGCCTGCTGCCACCCTGAGACCAGAACTTGACCGCAGAGGACAGGATCTGTGTTCTGTCAGAGGGTTACAGTTTTGATGTGGCCCACTTGCTCTCTCTGACACAGATCAGGATTAGGTTCCAACCCTTCGGGCACGTTGTTGGGCTGGCGCTCTTTAAATGAAGCTCTAAACCCAAATAGGACCTTTGGATGGTTACATGAGCTTGTTGAGGTGGGGAACGTGATCCAATTCAAGAGTGGACGCCACTTAGACACACTTGGGAGAATGAAGAGAAGACCTCCGTACAAATAATTGGATGCCAACAGTCGTGGATGTTTACAAAGGATGATTCTCATTAAATAATTGGAGAGTTTTGCTGGTTTCAGAAAGACGACTCTCTCTGATCTGTAATAACCTCTGCACAACACTCAGCGATGGTTTTGAAGCACAAAACATTTTTCTGTTGGAGCAAACTGTGTATTTGTACAGACCGGTCACATTCAACCAAACAAATAAGTCTTTTTTTAACCCTCTGTATTCTGCAACAGAAACTGTGCATATGTTGGTATTGTTGCTTATTATGATATTAATTCTCAGAGTATTTTAGAAAGCTTCATATCCCTAAAATCTGTACATCCTAGGCTAAAAGGTTATGGAAGTCAATGAACCACAACAATTGATAAAAGTATTGAAATTATGTCAGAAATTAAAAAAAAATACAAAAATCGGGCATGTTTTTTTCATCAATTTTGAAAAAATAAACACAATAAATATTGATCTGAAAGATTCATGAATGTAGAAACATGATCAAAATATTTCTAAACACTCCAGGAGTTATTTATTTATTTTATTCTATTTTTTGGTTTTAGATCATTTTATAGGGCTTTTGCCTTTATTATACTGAAGAGTGACAGGAAAAGGGAGACAGACAACGAGGATGACACGCAGCAAAGGGCCATGGGTTGGGGAAGAATCAGGGCCGCTGCCAACACCTCAGCCTGCATAGACCGCACACTCTACCTGGTGACCTTGAGGGCACCCCCCATTTTTTTCACCTTCATTTGGCCCCCTTGTAGCGTAACATAATGACGCCACCACACACAGACAACATGATGGCCCAAAAGAACAAAGGCTTTAGCTCTTAAAGCTTTTTATTTTAGATCCATTTTAAAAAAGATTATGGTAACAACACCTCCATAGGCACACGTGGGAGCTCTATTTCCAGATGGTTAAAAGAAGGCGAGACCATCACAGTTCAGATGCCATGAATCTCTTTCTCTCCTTACAGCTTTATCTACAGCGACTATACTTGGACTTCAACCTGAACCTTTCCTAAACTGATATAAATTTCACCCTCCTTTCTGAGGGAAACACTGTTCTTGGCTCACATTCCTTCGTCCTCCTTCTCCAGCCCGTACGAGCACAAGTCCGTATTTCATTTAGTGAAGACTTCCTCCAAACCACATGCTCTTAAAGTGGCCCTGATTAATCAGGCGCAGTGTTTTCTTCTTCCACGTCTCCTGGATCAGGGGCTGCCTACAGGGAGGGTAATTCCCAGCGCTTGCCTTTTGGTACTTTAATTTAGCCGGTGTTATCACTGGCTCAGGATGAAAGGGCCAGGGCATGAGAGTGGAAATACAGAGGGTTAATTCCACTGTTGGCATTGGAGGTTAGGTAAAGTTCAATGAAATATTAAGGTAATGTTTCAGTTAAGGCTTAAGACGGGAAAATGTCCACAGGTAACCCATGTTTTTGGGAATAACCCACCAAGCAAGAAAATGTATGAACATAAAAAATGTCCATATTTTTGAACCAACTGGTCAGTAGTATAAAATATTTTACGACACTCAGCCCTTCTCAGTTATGATGTTATGAAGTCATTTTCAAGGCTGAAACATTCGGGGCTGTTTGGAGGGGCAAGTGAAGTATAGTTTTTCATATTTTGGTGTTACTAAATGGGTGTGAGGAGCTCTGAGGAGCCAAACAACTTTATGAACATGTAACAGCTGACATCATAGCCCATGACAAACCAATACAAGCATAAAGAGTATGAGTGGTCATTGCATATTTTTCACATAAACTCACTGCAACTGTCTCAACTCGGGTAAAATATTTAGGCACGTTAAGTGAATGAGCAAATTGACACTGAGAGGGTAATTGATTTTTCCGTTGTGTCAATATTTGGGGAATTACGAGCACTTAGTGCGGCGTACGTAAGCGCAGATGTCGGTGGCACGTCGCAGTAATCTAATAGCGGACGCGGATCACAGCGCTAATCCTGGGAAGTGGACAGGAAGGCCTGTGTTCTGCTGGAATGTTTAGACTACCCGAGCCAGTAGACCGAATCTGTGATAAAGAAATACTAGCTTTTCACTGGTATGTTCCTTTGAACATCAACACGGCGAGTGATATTTCAGAGCAAAGGAAGCTGAAACTGAAACTTCTGTCCAAAGAATTTACAGAAAGAACGACGGAAATTTCTGATTACACGATCTTGATATGAAACTGTGTGGCAGGTACGGCAGAGGAGAAGGTGCTAAAGTTCAGGTCAACAGGCGTCCAGAAATTTACAGAGTACAGGGCACCTGCAAATCAAATTAAAGGGACAGTTCACCCCAAAAACAAATAAACATATTTTTCATCATACGGTGCTACTACTAGATTGTTCTGGTGTGAGCTGCAGAGTGTATCAGCCATTGAGCCATTCTCTCCAGAAGCTTTTTTGCCATCATGTGACACAGATGGAGGGCAGGAAGTGAGATCTGGTGGAACGCTGTCAGGATAACATTACTAGCTAACTTTAGCTATCTTTAACTACAGTTTTCTTCCTACTAGGTCAACTGTTCCCAGAGGTCAGGTGAAACGCTGTCAGGCTAACGTCACTAGCTATGGTTAGCTAACTTAGCTACTTTCCTCTCCTATCTACTCATCCATCAATGTCAGGAAAAATATGTCTTTTCGATTTTGGGGTGAACTGTCTCTCTAATAGCACAGCCTGGTCTAAAAAGCAGATGCATCATCAGTTGAATTTAGATCCTAGAAAAAGAGTAGCCCATGTGATTTGCTTTAACTCTTCCATCCAGCCATCACCTTACCTCCAGCCCGTCTCCTGCTGAAGAGGATTCCCCGTGAGGTGGACCTCTCGCAGGAACTGACATCCCTCCAGACTCTCACACACGTTCTGGATCTCTGAGAGAGAAAAGCAACTCTGCCTCGTCAGTGTCTATTTCTCAGTCTATTCCTCACTTTCACTCATGTCTTATCTGGTTATGCAGAGCTACATCAACTTGATGAAAGAAACAGAGATGTGTTTCTGAGACTTGTGGACTAATGCGTCTTATTTCCATGGAGTCATATACTGCACTTGGACAGGCAGCATAAACACTGCAGCATCATAAAAAATAGAGTCATGAGTGTTTATGACTGAAGGTGTGGTGCAGGTAAATTTAGAGCTATTGTATCGTCTTTTGTTAAGTGAAATTAATGTGCAGCTGAGTGGGAGTGAGACACTGGAAAGATGAAGTCAGCAGACAGAAGCTGAAACACCACCAGGTTTTAAACTGGTCCACATTACACACATAGCGGAGGTTGGTGAGCCTTTATGGTGATTAAATAGACCAATTTGGAGTGAACATCACAGTTACGTCACAGCGGTTGCGTGCACATCATGGTGCAGAAATACAGCGGCAACAGGACAGAAACAGTCACGATACCCAGAATAAAAATGTCTTGTTGTGGCGTTGGATGTCAGAACAGGAATACAGAATAATATAACCTTTGTTTTTATAGAAAACTGTCACTGAGGACGCGGTTTGAAACTAAACAAAGACCTTTGCAGTTGCTATAATTTGATGTAAACAAACAACCTACATAATATTCACATATGTAATTCATAAAGCCCGACAGTTAGAGCATGAAGTAATATTTGGGCCTTTATTTACATCCACCTGGTGGTAGCAGTATTTACATTGTTCTACAATACATTAAACAATGAAAAGAAGCTCATGAACAAAAATCATTTGATACAGTAAATCTCGGTATTACACATCCTGAACATGACGGAAAAGTACAAAACTGTGTGCATCATGAGATTCGGATGGCTTGAGTTATTGTTTTGTACAGACGCTGGGTTTTAACACAAGGTAGACGAAGATTTTCGGCCGTTGTCACGTTGGCCTTTTAGTTGGACGTCTCTACAACAATTAATTAAGAACAATAAGACAAATCCATGGTTGACAAACACAAGTTTTTACAGTTCCTTATAATGGCAGAATATCTATCACCACAACATTAATTCAGTTCATATAAACTGAACACAAACTCCTCTACTGAGTGTCCAGCAGTGATTACAGCCTAAATATTGAGATTATAATTAACTGGAGACAATTTTTTTCTACTACATGTAGGTCTTAGCTATAAAAATGGCTCATTGCAATCAGTTTAGAAATATAAACGTTGTAATGCTTTTTACGTTTTATCTGGCGCTCACACCGACACCACTACTGTCCCTTTCTGCCACCAGTTCAGCTCCGCCCACAAATATGTCATCGCTGTTTACAAACACAAAAAGGGTCTATAGGATTTATATCATCTGTTTAATGAAGACAATCTGTTACCTGACATGCAGTTGAATCGAAGATCCAGATTTGTGAGGGACACAGAATCAGACATGGAGGGCAGCTGGGTAATTCTAGGACACAAGGGAGAGACAAATTAGAACCCATTTTTATGGACACACTTTATCTTAATTCAATATAAAAGTTGATGTTAAAAAAAGGATTACAGTTTGTGTTATTTTCTCATCTGTGTTTCTATCACATTCAGGTCTGGTGCAAAGACAGACATGGAGTCAGACTGGAGGACTGAACCTGTTTTGGGCCACAGAGAGATGTAGCATGAGTGGAAGCCAGCACGCAGTGAGGCTCTGCAGGGAGGAGATGCTGTTGTCGTCGAGATGCAGCTCTCTGAGGAGAACCTGGTTGTTCAGATTCGGGGGCTGATGGGAAAACAGGGTGCAGCTGTCAGTGAACACTGGTCACACTGTGGGGTTAGACTAACTTTGTGCTGCTGCTGGTTCAGCTACACCTAAATGACCTCGTCCATCACTGTCAGCTGTTTTAGTCCTGCTGTGTTGGCAGACATCAGTGTCGGCCACAAGTTAAGTTCCGCTGACCACTGGTGCATTCAGAAATACTGAAGCTATATATGTTATTATAATAATTACTTTTGTTTGTATGTACTTTTATTTTGCATGTACTCTCTCATCAAGCAGTTACCACTGAGTTACCAAAGAAAGACCAAGATAAGCTTCAGTAACTGGACATTCTCTCCAGCTGTCTCTTACAGCGTATTCTCATGGAAGACATTTTGACTAGTGTAACTGTGATGTAACTCATAACATCAGTTAGTTCCCTTTCATTGAGTTCTACAAGTGACAGGGCCCTGGTATCGTGCATGCTGAGCAGCAGCAGTGACCCACCGTCTCAAGTGACTTCTCAACACTGAACAGTGACATCAGAAGCAGTTCTTTCAGTGATCAGCTGCAGCTGTTTGTTTGTACCTCCATCAGGTTGTTGGCTCTCAGGTCCAGTGTGTGGAGCAGAGCGCTGTTTTCCAGCCCCTCCACACCTGCCAGGTGGTTGTGTGAGAGGTTCAGGTGCAGGAGAGTGTAAATGTCCCTCAGTCCTCTGGTGCTGATCAGCTGGTTGTGATCCACTGACAACCTCTGCAGTCTCCTCACAGACTCCAGACCAGCTGGAGACGAGACGGGAAAATGAGAAGGTATTTATTCAGATTGGAAAACAGCACAGGGTGAGTCTACATATGAGCAGTAAACAAAGCATGAGCAGGTCTAAAAAACATAATCTAAAATGAGACGGTCCAAAAGTTCCCTCCTATGAGATTCAGTTTCAGAGGGGAGTCACAACACAATATTACAGCAGCTGAATATATGATTCAATGCGTTTAACCTCTCGCCTGGCCAATATCTATTTATGACTTCAGCCTCAGCTCAAGATCACCTCAGTAAATAAATTACTCTTCAATGCATATTGTAGTAAAGTCAGTGAAGTCCAGGAGCTGCATCAGAAGAGAGCTGCTGCCCTCTTGTGGAGTATTTCACAAACATCTCAAACTGCCACACACACACACACATCACACAGACAATAATCAAACTACAAACAGTGTGAGATCTCAGATGTGACACAATCATGTTATAATGGCAACAATCTTATTCAATCATATTCCAAACGTCACAATTATATTTCACAAGGTTATAATTTTTCAATTCTCACCAATGCGAGTGATGGAGTTGTGTGCGAGGTCCAGAACATCCAAATTTTCAGCACCAGTTAAACCGTGGATGGACGTCAGCTTGTTGTGGCTGAGATGAAGAACCCGTAAACTGGTCATATTTTCACAGTTGACAAATGAGATGTAATTTTCCTGTGACAAAACAGAAGACTTTAGGACACAACAAAACATGCCTGTATTGATTTTTACTTTCAGAATAAAGAGATAATGATATTTAATTAACAATAATCCAACCATACAACAGCACAAAACAGCTGGAAGTAAAGATCATGGATTATTTAACTTCCCTTGAAAAACAAGAGACACTAAGAAAATAAAGTCATTATATATGGACTGAAAATCCACCTGTACGTCGATGTAGCAGAGTTGTGGTAATTGCTTGATGCCGTCCAGAGATCTGAGGCCGCAGTGTCTGAGCGTGAGGGACCGAAGCTGAGAACACTGAGTGAGAGTGGATAAGTTACAGCCAGGTAAGTCCTCCAGGGTCACTGTGGTCACCTGGAACAGAGGTGAAGATGTTTCAAGGCTCAGAGGTTTGTCTGGATTTTGAGAGGTTAAGCTGGCGTGTGTGACATGACAAAGATATGTCATTATCATATCAAATATCATATTAGGACCAGTCAGAAATGGATTACTGCTTTTTCAGTGCAACCACTCTAAAGCTGGAGTCCAGAACTGTTGTCTCCCCCCTGTGGCACTGAGGGTAAGCACATAAACACTGTAGACATGCAATATGATGTATGCCTGCAGGTGAGTTTGCAACATCTCCCCCGTCCCCAGGAGCGCTATCGTCAAGACTTTATTCTTTTTACTTTAACCTTTTGGGCCCTAGGCCTTTTTGGGATATTTTTACTGCCTTTACTTTTAAGCTCATATCACAGTCATTATAAAGGCTACATACACATGCTATATTTTTTTCAGGACAATCTGGGCTAACCAGATTTGCCATCATTTCATGTCCTTCTATGTGCCTGTATTTTATATTAATTTTTATATCAATGAAAAAAACAAATCTGTGTCACTAAATTCTTACATTTTTACATGTATCTCACCATAGCAAGATGGAAGTTGACATATTCTACCATATATGAAGAGGGGAGACTCTCTGGAATCAGATATGTATATGGTGACTACGGCCCTGTCATGCATGCATAATTAGGCTTCAGTTGTCTGGGTGCGCAAAGGTGAAGTGTTCTGGTCTTGTCATACAAAGTTTGATGGAGTGTCAACTGGACAATATGGAGATATTTGCATCTTGAAAGCCGGACTACAAATGTAGATAGACAGGGAGAAACACACGCAAGCCTAAGACGTGGTAAGATACGATATCCCTCACTATATGAAGTGACTGATAACAAGATCTGTATAATGGATTGTAAAGAAATTCGTCAGGTTTTTATTTTGTAGACAATCTATCTGGATTTATAGCGTGATGGGATGACAGCACAATGATGTGTGTGGTATCCCTGGAAAGCTCTGCTCCTGCGCTTTCATGTGATATGCGTGCATTTGCGAGTAATTCATCCAAGAGTAATGTGTGTGCAAAGCTGTATGAAAGCTTTGTTATACAATTTTAGTGTAACTTTATCTTCGCTGCGAAAACATTGGACTACTGACAAGTGCTTGGTCTTCTTGGTTCCACTGTTTCACGTGATATGCGTGGCTTCTCGCTATGACAAAGGGTCGCAGAGAAAATCCACAGAGAAGAACAGGTGTGAATTTGGACGCACTATGCGTTGTTCGGGCCCATAGGGTTAAAGGTATACTATACAGGATTTCATAAAAAAAAAAAAACGTACACAAGGTAATTCCTCTGAATCATCACTTATGACCTGATAAAAGTGTTTGTCTGTATCTGCAGAAACTCTGCCCCCTGAGTCTCATCACTGATCAGATAAGTTAGCAAAACTGTAACCTAAAAAGTTGTTTATTAACTAAACTGTTTCCCTGACTACAAGATTAAAGCTACAGGACACCTCGCCCCTTACTGTAACTTCAAACACAGTTGGTTTACAGTTGTCATTTATTCCACGTCGTTTTCTTTTATTTAAAGTTATTTAATTTTCTAACATATCTCATGATGTGCCTGCTATCTGATAGCTATGGTGGGTGAATGTCTACTAAGCCACCTAAACAGGATTTCAGAGTTTTAAAGTAGAGATTACAGTTCATGTGTCAGTGCTGTTTCAGAGAATTTTCCACAGTGACTGCTCGCTGTATGTGCTTATGTCCCACCCACACACACACTATCACTGACTGATGAATTGGCGCTGGTTATTTATATAATTGTGGCGTACTAACTATGAATACAGTCCATCTGATGCTGGTTTTGTTTAAAAAGCTACAAATTATATCCAGCCACAAAATGGCAGCTTTTTACAATGTTGCAGAATGGAGTGTTAATAGTAGCTGGAGTGTGTGTGTCAACTCTTCTTGTCGTGAGTCTTTTGTCTGACCTGGCCTTTATGTCTGAGGGATTCGACCTAAAGCTCCAGCACTCTCATGGTTAAACGTGTTCAAACAGCTTCATCCTTTATAAACAGTTCTGTAAATGTGTCTGTGTCATGGTGGAGTATTTGTGGTAATCTTACCTCCTGCAGGGATTTCCAGCCTGTGGCCCGCAGCAGAGAGTGTGGACAGAGAGGAGGCAGACTGCCAGCCTCAGCAGCTCCTCTCGGCCCTCTCCGACCCCGGACAGAACCTTTCTGCTTCCTCCTGTTCCGGAGGGACAGTTTGGACCAGGGGACACAGTCTCTCATCCATGACAGCCTCTTCCTCTCTGTGTGCTCTGGGAGACACACGGTTGAAAACACAGACACAGTGGAGTCCACAGTTTGTTCTGTGGAGGTCTGACTGATGTTCTCCTCTGGGTCATGTTGTGGTGGTCTGGTTTCAGTACTGGTGGGACTGGTTGTGGACTCACTGTGTAAAGGACCAGAGCTGGAGGAGGTCCAGGTGGTGCCGTCTCCTCGCTGTGAGGCCAAAGTGTTTTCTGTTTCATCTTTATTCTTTTTCTCATTTTCATCCATCAGGCTGTTTTCTTCATCCTCCACCTTCACCTCCTTTTCCTGCACCATTCTCTCTTTGCTCTCCTCTTTGAGTCTTCCTCCTTCCTCTGTCTTTTTGTTCACCTCTTTCTTGTTTTCGTCCACCTCCTCTTCCTTCATCTCCTTCTCTATTCTCACATTTTCCTCTTCCTTCTTTTCTCTCTCTTCCTCCTCTTTCTTCTTCAGGCTAATTTCTTCCTCCACTTTTCTCTTATCTCTCTCCATCTTCTTCCTTGACTCCTTCAACTCTTTTCTTTCCTCCTCCTCTTTCCTCTCTCTCCTCTCTGCCTCTTCTTTCTTTTTTCTCTCTTCTTCCTCTATCATTCTGATTTCATCCTCCAGCTGCTTTTTTTCCAATATTATCTTGTGTCTTTCCTCCTCCATTCTCCTCCTTTCCTCCTCCTCATTTTTACATTTCATCTCTTCTATCTTTCTCTCTTCCTCTTTCTTCCTCCTCATCTCTTCCTCCATTTTTTTCCTCTCTGCCTCCATCCTTTTTGTCTCCTCTTCCCTTCTCCTGTCCTCGTCATTCTTCATCCTCTTCTGCTCCCCTTCCCTCATCTTCCTCATTTCCTCCATCTCCATTTTCCTCTTTTTCTCCTCCTCATTTTTACGCTTCATCTCTTCTATTTTTCTTTCTTCCTCCATTCTTTTCCTCTCTGCCTCCATCTTTTTTGTCTCCTCTTCCCTTATCCTTTTGTCCTCTTCATCCTTCATCCTCTTCTGCTCCTCTTCTTTCATCCTCTTTTCCTCCCTCTCCATTCTCCTCTTCTCTTCTTCCTCTTTTTTAAGCTTCATCTCTTCTATCTTTCTCTCTTCCTCTTTCTTCCTCATCTCTTCCTCCATTCTTTTCCTCTCTGCCTCCATCTTAAGTTTCTCCTCTTCCCTCTTCCTCTGTTCCTCCCTCTCCATTCTCCTCTTCTGATCTTCCTCTTTTTTAAGTTTCATCTCCTCTATTTTTCTTTCTTTCTCCATTCTTTTCCTCTCTGCCTCCATCCTAATTTTCTCCTCTTCCCTTCTCCTCTTGTCCTCTTCATCCTTTATTCTCTTCTGCTCCTCCTCTCTCATCTTCCTCTCTTCCTCCACTCGTCTCTGTAAGTTGCTGATCAGTTCCTAATTAGGAAAGACAGACAGGAGAGTCAGAACAAAGCAGGTTGTCTCATCTCATTAGAAACATTTCATTATGAGAACATAAACCAATAAACACATAAACAGCCCAAAGCCTCGACACCTGCAGAGGAAGTCGGAGCTACGACCTCTCAGAGTAGATTATAATAATCTGATGTTTGAGGTCAGTGAACTTCTGATTCATGTTTTTCCACATTCTCTCACTGTTTCTGAATAATGATGAATTAAGACTAATAACTTCACATGGAAGTCCCAGCACTGAATTAACTCATTAACCAGGGAGGACGCTGACACCCAGCTGTGTCTCTGCAGGTTGAACATCTGGTGACAAGTGACAACATGAGGATTGAGCCATACCTGCTGAAACAGAAGCTCTTGTTCCAGTTTCTCCTGAGCTCTCTTCCCCATCAACTCCAGTTCCTTCTGATGGAGCTGGATAAAGAAATAAACATGATAATGGTATATATTATGATATTTTACATTTTTTAAATTCTGGATTTTCTCTCTGATATCTTTCCTCACACAGTGTACAGGCCTCACTGTCTATCAGCTATCTATCTTGTTGTCTTTACTTGAATTCTTCAAAGGTATAGGAGGCATTTTCCTTCTTAAGAGCACCTGAGTGATGCAGCAGTTTCCTCAGGTTGTCTGTTTCCTTTATTATTTCATATATTATTCTTGATAGATAGATTCTTCTTCTTCTGGGAGGAACAGTAATTCATATTGGGTTTTTATATGTGTAATACACAAGCAAATAGCAAACAAAATCTTGAATCTTGAATATGTTATTACACAAATGTGAAGTACTGGATTCTATTTTTCCTTTTTTCAGTAAGATGTATATGATATAAATCCCAACACAGAGGGGGATTACAAAGTTGCTCATCTGAAATATTTTCCAAAATCTACATCTGCTATATTTAAGCAATATCACACGAGAGGGAGTGATGTTGTACTGTATATCGTCACAGCTGTGATTCGGTTGTAGGCACTCGGCCTGTGGCCTCATGCCGAAGACAGTTACAGCCGTGATGATATACAGTACAACGTCACGACCTCGAGCGTGATATTGCTTTTATAAAACAGTTCAACAACAGCTTAAACAGCAATACTGAGTAAGGAAATGTTAACAATAGGTGATGAAATAAATTATTTAAGTATGTTATGTAGCACCGCGAAAACAAAAAAAAAAACAGTTCCCCTGGTCTGTTGCCAGGCAACGCAGCACACACGCCAGGAACTCACAAACTACTTTGTATTTACATTGATGTGCAGCTGTGTAACTTCTTCCAGTTCGGCTGATGAAACGTTGGCAAACCTGGATGTTGGTACGGCTGGATTCAGCTTCCACTCTCCCTCATCCTCATCAGTACCTCATCAGATGATCATTGATAATTCCTGACCGTGTTCGCTTCATTTTTGCTGCTCTCCAGTTTGTCGAGGTCGGCTGATGTTACACAAACACACCTGGAGGTCTGCACAGAAGAGTCCTGGCTTTCCTTTTCCTCGTCCTCTCCTGACGACCACTCATAATTTAATTCAAATGTAATTTTGGGGAAAATATCCATCTTCTTGGTGTAACGCTATAGTGTCAGTTTGCGTCAGTGTAGCGAGTGTGACAGTTAATTAATGGTTGTATTTATATTTATAACACCTGTGAGCGGAGTGATTTTACTGTTACAAGTCCCAGTGATGTTGTACTCTGTATCAGCACTCACGGACAGAATGCCTCTCGTCCAATCAAATTACTCGGTCGGAACTAACTGTTGTATAATAAGAATTCTTATGAGAAGAAGTCCTGAGTAAGACTCACCCTCTCTGCCTCCATTATCTTCTGCAGCTCCTCCTGGAAGTCTCTTTCTCTTTGTCTCCTCCGCTCCTCTTTTTTCATCTCCTCACAGTGTCGTTTCTTTCGCTCTGCCTCGTATTGCAGCGTCAACTGCTTCTCTATGTCCACATATTCATCTGTGACAAGGACAAAAATGTAAGCCGTCATTAACAGTTACGCAAGCAATGAGGAAAACGTTGCAGTGGTGCCATTATAGGTTTAACTTGAGCTTGTCATCCCCCTCTCATTGTCTTCCCTTTTACCATTTTTCATTGCAGATTACAGTGTGCAGTGAAAACAAAAATAACCCTCAAAATAATGTCTGTAGAAACATATATAGCTATTATCATAAATGAATGATGTGGCATCACTTGGACAGGTCAGCAGGAATATACTGTATGTCATGCTTCAAATATTGTCAGAACTATACAGGTGGTTTAACAGTTACAGTCTTTAAAATGTTGAATATATAATTTTAATTAGAGTATTTCCATCAGATCAAACACTACGTACTTATGACAAACACATTGTCAAAAAGATTCAACCACTGACAGGATTTAAGGAAATTATAAATCAAGTTATGCCTTTAGAAAATGTAACCTTATCCTCTGTCCAAAAGGTTTAATTATGTACAACTTTATCACTGAATCTCCCTATGGTCACAATTGAAAACAAAAATGAGTCAACAGTGACCTCTTGTGGTCAACTGTTCTACCACTATCAGTTTCAGAACAACATCAGAGCTTCAGCAAGACCTCAACAGTGCAAACAAAAAGGAACAGAGAGGAAAGAGATGTAATGTAGCATCAACATCCATCACACCTGTGCCATAAACTACAGTGTGTAACATGTCATGTTTGTTCACTTTGAATTACCATCGTGCTGTCACTCAAACTGTACTTTTGATCCTGTGAGGTTTACACTGCACTGCGTCAAGCGTTTTCACCTCATACTTCTAAACATGTACCTTCGTTGTTGTGACACACTGAAACAACATCGGTGAAAAGTGCTTCTGTCTCTGTGGGTGAAGGAAGAACGAAGGGATCAGTGGAGGTGTTGTTCTCCTCGTTCTCCTCATCACAAATGCCCTGCATCAGGAAAATAAAAATGTAGATCAGTTTGTCACAACGTGTATATTCTGGATGTGTCATACAGAGAGAAGACTGACACTGGACTGTACAGAGAGACATTTACCTGCTCTTTAAGTTTCATCATGTCCTCATCAAGTTCAGATGGAAAGTTCATCATGTCCTCAGTGTGATGTGATGGAGGGGAGGCTGAGAGGAAATTCAAAGAAAACACATCCATCATCACAAGAAACACGCTCAGCCACGGGATCACCTGTCGGTCGTTTCACTGTACATACTGATACAGCACAGCTAATTGACAGATTCATGAAAGATGATTAGATGAGTCATTTAGTGTCTATTTTCCAAACACAAGAGCTGATTTCGTGCCCTGGTTCACCACAGAGAAGGAACGCCTCTAAAAGTATAAAGTCACATTATGTGCTGCTGTTTACCTTCAAGATCCTCGAGGATGAGCTTCTCACAAACTGCTGCTCTGCTTTTAGAGGCTTCAAAGTAGCAGAGCAGAGATGGGGGGATATCATCTGAGTCCTGCTGTCAGAGAGTTGGTTTGTGTTAGTTTGGTACGTTTAAAAGTGAAGCTGAGGTTCTATCTGCTGTTGTATCTGCATAAACATCCAAACGTGTGTATTTAATAAGCTTGTAGAGACAAAGTGAAGCAAAGACTGGCTGGTTACATGAGAAGAAGTCATGAGAATACACCATGTCACATTACGCGATTGTGGAGTCATAAAATCGTGCCGTGACTTGGCCAACAGACATGACAGACATGCCGACACCGTATGTCGCTGCGTTGGGCTAGAATAGGGCTGATATTGTGAAGTGTGTACCAGGCATAATAAGACCTGCGGTAGGTCAGCTGATGTGCAGAAAATACTCCCAAACTGTCCGTTTACTCCTCGGTGGTGTGTTTTAATATTTGGCTTCCAAATTAATTTCCTTGATGTTTTGCATTTATCACTTTTTCTTGAGAACTGGAACAAAACCTCACTTTTTGGGGTGTTTGATTTTTACTTTTCAGTTGGGCTGGAAAACATATTTCATTTAGTTCTATAGTTTATGTAAACATATAATTTCATTAGAGTGCTACTGACCTTTTCACAAAACAAAAAAGAAACCATGATGGAGATGGGTTTGTCTTTATGACAGCATATATAACAGTTGGCCCCACTTTTAAATCAAATGCGAGTTCTTCTTTGAACATGGGAGTATTTCTGAGGTGGCAATCTGAATGTAAGAATCTGCTCTCTGGCCAATACGCTGTCTCTATGGGCACCCTAGTTCTATGGGCCCCGGTGCAACCGCACTGCCTGCACTGTCTATGTTTATGCCCCTGGTCCCAATTCTCTAGAGTGAGTGGCAGCCCTGCAGGACAGTAGGGTTGGGTACCGAAACTCGGTACTTTTTGTACTTGGTACTGATTCACGTCGGTACTACCGAGTACCGATTCACTTAAAATGAATCATGCCAAATTTCGGTACCTGATGTGGAGGTGGAGCGAGAGCTCATGACTCGCACCTCAGACTCAGCAACAACGGTGAGCCGAAAGCTGTCCAAAGTCTGGCTGCACTTACGCCAGTCGATGGAGACAGTGCTCGCTGCAATATTTGCGACGCAACATGCAAGGCAGGCAGGGGGAACACTTCCAATTTAAGAATTGTATTTATTTCTATTTAAATCTTTTTATTGAATTTTCAAAATAAATGCATGTGCAGACAAAAGTTAATGTGCAGCACTGTTTCTAAATGTTCTCA